GTGTGTGAGTGTATGTGTGTGTATGTGTGTGTGTGTGTGTGTGTGTGTGTGTGTGTGTGTGTGTGTGTGCGTGTGTGTGATGAAGATTCTAATGATGATGATGAGAAGAAGGAGGAGGACATGAATGAGAAGGAGGAATAACTGTAAAGGGGGAGACAATACATGTTATTAATGATTATGATAATAAGGAGGAGGAGAAGGAGGAGCTGGAAAAGGTAGAAGCGGAAGAGGTGGTGGAGGAGGAAGAGGAGGAAGAGGAAGATGGGTGAAGAAATTGTAAGTAGTAAGAGAAGCAACGGTGATTTTAAACGATACAATTATTAATAAGCATGATAATAATTGTTACGATGACTCAGGTTTGTTTGTAATCTTTCATTTGTGATGTTCTATTTCAGCTACCTTTCATGTTGTCTCTATACCTTCATTTCTCTGATGGTACAATACATGAGCGGAAAAGACTCCATGCTCAGTCGATTAGAAGACCACCAGATTCATCAGATCTCTCTACAGGCACCACCATGTTTTTGTTGCTGCTGCTGTTTACCAAAACCAAAAGCTACAAGGTACTCTAGACTCTAGGCCCCTACTGTGTTGTCTGTCTGTTGTCTCGAATTTTCTTTCTGCCTCAAGATGGAGAGTTACTTTATGCTATCTTTATATCAATCTCGTTTATAACACGATTTCGGCTATTGCAAACTGTTAATAAATCCCAGAGTCCGTTCACTTGTAATATTATGTAGAATAAAAGGTCTTTTAAAACAGGCACTAAGCAAAAATTCTGGGCTATAACAGTGATCCAAGCATCGACAAAATTCTAAAACAAACGAACAAGAAAGCAGAAAAAAACAAATGAAACAATACTGCAGCCATCATTGATGGCAAAATGCATCTACATGACCCACAGTAGGCTTAGATTCTAAGTCTGTTGTGTTCATGTTTAGTGAGTCATACTGTATGTGGGTGTGGAAAAAAAGTGTGTTTAGGGGGGGGGGGGGGGGGGGTGTTAGGGAAGGATGAAGTGGTTGCTTTTTGGGCGTTGGGGCAAATCCAGTCAATTATTTAGCGTGACCTTAATCTGTCAAATTGTCATAATATTGTCTCCACGTTAGGTGAAGAGATATGTTACAAGAATAAAATCTGTTTCCCTAACATGGTATATGCTCGATTTCAAACAGATCTAGTTGTAAAGCACGCAGAGCATGCTGTTTACTCTGTTGAGCATTATTATTTTGAACTACATAATGATATAAATACAAGCATTAATTATCAGTATTACCCGTGCATCTCTAATTACGTCTACGTTCATGAGACTTTAAAACTAGTAAAAAGAAGTTAAAGATGAGGGAAGAAATATCACTAGGAGAGAAGAATAACAATAACCGACAAATTGGTAGTGGGTAATCTATGTGATAAAGTGATCCCATTGGTTAATCACCAGTTACAGTATAGCCAATACGTAAACGGGATCCCCGTCTATACCCGTCCTCAAAGGTAAGGCTATACCAGAGACATCACGACGGTCCCCGCGGTCCTTTTATAGCCGTGGACCACTGTAGTCCGAAGTCCTGACTGACGAAGAGTCGTGTACCAGAGACATCACGACGGTCCCCGCGGTCCTTTTATAGCCGTGGACCACTGTAGTCCGAAGTCCTGACTGACGAAGAGTCGTGTACCAGAGACATCACGACGGTCCCCGCGGTCCTTTTATAGCCGTGGA